GAGCAAAGTTCTGTAAAAAGAGAAAAGTATCTAACTTAATTGATATTGTTCCGACAGTAAATGGGCAAACAAATTGTTAAAGTGGAAACTTTTTGAATTTCATTGGACTTAGTTTGACTAAAATTGAGAAAATTTTTGTTAAAATGGGCGTTATACTAGCTTAATCGGTTTTGTTTTAACCAAAATTGGACCAAATTTCTTTAAAATGGAAGTTTATCTAACTTAATCGGACTTTCTTTTTACTGACTTTGGGGAATTATTAGTTTTTTTTCCTTATATAGCTTATCTGTTTGTGCTTATTGTAATTTTTATCTTAACTTAGCATAGGTTCAGTGAGCTTCACTCAATTTGCACCGGTGACTGCTAGTCGAGTGTTATTTGAAAAAACCATTTTTTTATAATATGTTTTAAAAATCTCTTGCTTCTTCATTTGGGTCTAAGCCTGTAATTTTTTCGAGAGCTAAGTCTGGATATGCGACTGTTTTTGCCATTTTTTTTGTTTCTTTTTTTTTCAGCTTTTAATGTTCTTGATAGTTTTTTTAAGCAGCATCGAAATTTTAATAATTGGTAATTAGTTTTAAATGGAATCGACGTACTTGAGTCAAACTTTGACAAAAACTATATGAAAGTAGAAAAACGGAGAATAAGTGAAAGAAGAATAAGTAAACTAGAAAAAGGAGAATAAATAAACTATCATAAGAAACTGTCACAAATGAACAAGTATTACATTTTTTTATTGGAAAATCAAATTGATATCTATTGTGTTATGCTGATTCACAAAAACATTGACAATTTGAGAGTATTGAGAGCTTGTTCTTTCAATTGTGATTGCCCCTCCATTGAAACTGGCAAGTTTTTATAATAAAGAGTCAATTTTGATTTATCTGGGAAAATATAAATCGTGTTCACACTAGCAAGTACATGGTCGACATGAATTAGGATGTTGTAATCGATCAGGAAATTGATATCCATGGCTAGGCAGAACATTGTCCTAAGCATAATGTGTTTCGAGCACCTCTCGATATATCTCAATTTCATCACCGATTAAAATTGGCTTATAAATTGCAATTATGGCAAATATTATGCTTATCTTATAGTAAAAAAATGAATTGCTGCACTGATGGCAATTAATTGTTTCCAAAATCTCACATGGACTTTTTGTCTAAGATTAAATTATTAGTGTTTTTTAAAATCTTCAAAATTTTCTAAAATTGTTTTTATTAGGTCTCAGTGATCTCTGATTATATTAAAATTAATCAAATTGGTGAGTGTTTGAGCAAAATCAAAGTTAAAGTTTCTTAAAGAACAATTATATCCCATAAGCTTTTAAATGCAAAATGATGCCATGCATGCGCGTTTTTATTCTTTTGCGGACAAACTATGAAATTGGCCACATTGTTGAGGAGCGAGTATCATTCGAGTCTTGAAGGCTACATATAGCCACCAACTTTAATTTTCGTTGGCATAATTTGAATGGTACCCATAATTCGAAATTACATATAGCACCAATAATGTTGGCATAAAACTACGGCGGGTTGGGTCAAACTTTTTAATCGCCCGTTTTTGTGAATTAACTATTGTTTGATTGGAACAAATTCGAGAATTTTGGGAGATGAGATTTCCTTTCAAATGTTACTCTGCTAGTGTGTTTTTTGTAATTTAGTGCCTATTTTCAAGCGAATTTCAAAAGCAACCTATCAGTTCCTCTATGTGCACTCAGAGGATTCCGAGGACAATAAATTTGTTCGCCTTAAATGGCTTGATACAATTTTACATTGGCTAGTTGATAAATCAAAGGTTTCAACCCAAGTTTGTTGGCCGCTTCGAATGCAATTGGAAAAAAATTTTCCAATTTTTTTTGTGCTGAATTTTTCAGTCATAAAACCGCCTGAGTTTGAAGTGAAATTGACTCAAAACTTATTTTAGTTTAAGCTCCTGGCCTTCCGTAATTTATAGTTGCTTTTTTTATTGCAAATGAAAATTAAAAATCAAGCGCTACAGGTTCCGTTGGATAAATTATGTTCCATAAGTGTTTAAAAAAATTTCTTTCAATTTTATTTTGAAGGTATACATTTTCAACCAATTTGAACTGTTTCAGGAAGTTTTAGAAATGGTAACACACAGAAACGCAGAAGAAGAGATTGTTTGGAGTTTTTTCATAAAAAATATAATCACTCGCATAGTCATAAAATGTGTTATAAAAGAAAAATTACTAAGCAAATTAGGTGGATCACTCATGCTTTGGAATAGTATAGAAGTTATTTGAAAAACAGTTTTTCTGTTTTATGTTAAACCATAAATGTGTTTTCGACCGTATTTTTTCTTTCAAATGTTTTGCCTATTGATTCTTTTGTTATGAATATTTTGACTCTGTAAGATTCCTAAGCATAATAGGATTGATTTTTTTCGTGTCTTAAAATTTTTTTTATAAACATTGATGACTTTTTTTCTATAAAGTTTCAATCCTTCATTCATTTGGAGGCAATTACTCTTAATATTTAACCGATTAAAGCTCATTGTCTGTTATCATATACGTCGTGATTTGCACGGTGACTGCTAGTCGAGTGTTATTTGAAAATACCATTTTTTTATAATATGTTTTTAAAATCTCTTGCTTCTTCATTTGGGTTTAAGCCCGTAATTTTTTCGAGAGCTAAGTCTGGATATGCGACTGTTTTTGCCATTTTTTTTGTTTCTTTTTTTCAGCTTTTAATGTTCTTGATAGTTTTTTTAAGCCGCATCGAAATATTTTTAATTTGTAATTAGTTTTAATTGGAATCGACGTACTTAAGTTATTTTAGAAAGTAATCGAGAGCAAAGCAATTAATCGTTCTTCTGGTATATAATATGTTATTTAGTATGTTTACTTGTTGGAGAACTGTTACTACTTTGAGAGTGTATCTTCGAAAAAGGACATGTAGTTCGTGTTTATGTTCGTTAACGTGTTGCGATAAAATGATGACATGATCTTTTTCAGTGTTTTAATCTAGCATAGAGTTTTCGTAATTTTTATTCTCATCCTTATGTTGTATTTTTAAAGTGCAAAAATCGGTTTTAGATTGTGTTGACATTACTTTTTTTCATTATCAGGTTTTTTTACGATTTAAACTAATACTTTTTTTACCGTGATTAAGATGAGTTTTTGAACATTTTTAGCCTTTCTTCAATTTTCATTAACCAATTTTCACTAAAAGGATGAAAATTGTGATTTAGTTTACGTTAACTGAGATTATTTTGACAAAAACTAGTTAAATTTGAGCATTTTCTAGTATTTATATATTAAAGAGGATTTCAATATGATAGAAATTTGATTAATATCCGTTTTTTATCAGTTATTTGTAGTAAAAATTTTCAATTTACTTCTCTAATTTGGTTTCATTTTGACCAGTTTATAGATGAATTTTCAATTAAATCTGAATTTTTGCTAACTTATTTAGGCTTATGTGGACCAAGTTTTGAGTAAAATTTTAATGAATTGTGTTTTCTTAAATCTTAAGCGGCCCATTTTGACAAAAGGTTAAATTTTAGTTATATTTGAAGTTCACATTTCCTAATTGAGTTTATTTTGAAAAAAATTGGGTAAACTGTTGATTAACTCCTAGTTTGCCTAAATTAAATGGTTTGACTTTTACCAAAATTAGATAATTTTTTTAAATACTGGGTTAAACTGGATTAAGTGGCTCTGTTTGGGTCACATTTGGGTTATTATTAGGTTAATTTTAAGTTAATTTTTCTTAATTGCACTTATTTGGACCAAAGTTGGGTGAATTTTAGAATAATTTTTAGTTTACCTAGCTTAAAACGCTTCATTTTAATCAAAATTAGGTAAGTTTTAGATTTATACTCAATTAAACTAGCTTAAATGGCTCTTGTGGGGCCAGATTTGGGTAAATTTTTAGGTTAAGTTGGAGTTAATTTATTTTAATTATGCTTATTTGGAACAAAATTGAGCAAAAGTTTGTTAAAATGGAAGTTTAATTAGTTTAATTGAATGAGCCTTGACCAAAATGGGCTAAATTTTGTTGAAAAGGGAGCTTATCTGGCTTAATTGGGCTTATTTTGACATAAATTGGGCAAAGTTTTGTTAAAATAGAAGTTTATTAAGATTAATCGGATTTGTTTTGACTATATGGGCAAATCTTTAACAAAATGGAAGTTTTTTTAGCTTCATCGGACTTATTTTTGCTAAAATTGACCAAAATGTCTTTAAAATAGAAATGTATCTAGCTTAATCGGACTTATTCTGACTGAAATTGGACACAATTTCAAAAAAATGGACGTTTTTCTAGCTTATTTGTGGTTATTTGGCGTAAAATTGAGCAAAGTTCTGTAAAAAGAGAAAAGTATCTAACTTAATTGATATTGTTCCGACAGTAAATGGGCAAACAAATTGTTAAAGTGGAAACTTTTTGAATTTCATTGGACTTAGTTTGACTAAAATTGAGAAAATTTTTGTTAAAATGGGCGTTATACTAGCTTAATCGGTTTTGTTTTAACCAAAATTGGACCAAATTTCTTTAAAATGGAAGTTTATCTAACTTAATCGGACTTTCTTTTTACTGACTTTGGGGAATTTTTAGTTTTTTTTCCTTATATAGCTTATCTGTTTGTGCTTATTGTAATTTTTATCTTAACTTAGCATAGGTTCAGTGAGCTTCACTCAATTTGATCGTTGAAAAAAAAATGTCAGAAAGAAAACACCTTATAGTTCCTTACCTAGTGAGCGTAGATCGTTTCTTCCCTTCTTTGGACCAAAACTTCCTTCCCTGATGAGATAATTAGGTTTAGAACTAAGTTATGTTAGGTTAGATGATAAGCCTCGCACAAGGGTGAAAATAATATAAAGCACAATTGCACAACCAAAAAAATTAAGAATTTATCTCAATGTAGCACAGGTTTGATTGTGTATATGATGGGTTAAATTAATTCATCAATAATTTAGAGTACATTTAGATTGCATGCAGTACCTCTTCCTCCCTTTTTAAGAAAGAATTGAAACGTTTAATAAGTTTTACGAGCACTTTCGGAATGTCTGATGAAAGAACAAAACTGTAAATAGTTAGTTTAACGTATGTTATAAAACTATTTTAGGTGAAAGGTCGTTAAATTTTCTAAAGTAAATGTTAACACTAGCCGATTTGGTCAGAGAGCATTTCCTTTTATTTGGTATATATTAGTTATAATAATCATGAGTTGAAATGTTATGCGATAAAGTTAGCAGAAAGCTGTCAAAGACTGATGCGCGATAGAGAAGATATTGATAACCTTAAATCTATCAAGGACTATCTGGCAATAAAGCGGTCAATCATATTGCGGGCCCTAAAGATAGATAACATCTGTCTCTAGCTTTTTGAAGTTGGAAACTGACTAACAAAAACTCACTTTCCTAATATTTGCAATAACTACAATTAATTCTTTTGTTTTCAGACCTATATGTTTAATAAGGAGTAGTTCTCAGCTCAAATCGCACCAACTTTCCTAAGAAAAACGTGGGGGTCGGTTGTTAGATCCCTTTGTTTCAATTAGTAACTAAAATTATAAGTCTCAGTTGAATTATATCATAGATAATAGTTGATCTGTTCCTACAGTTAAAATGATATTTATATAAACAGATAAACTAAAAGGGTTGATTCAATAAATTTAAATTATTTATAAATGGATGAACAACTGTATTAAGGACCAAAATAGGTTTGGGGTATTTAGGTTAGGTTACATTAATTTAATTTAAAGGAAAACTTTAACTTAAATTAATGTAACCTAACTTAAATACCCCACTAAATACCCCATTAAATAAATTTAAATTATTTATGGATGAACAACTGTAATAAAGACCAAAATAGGTTTGGGGTATTTAGGTTAAGTTACATTAATTTAAGTTAAAGGAAAACTTTAAAATTTTACCTCTGTCAGTTCTGGATTGTTATATTTGTTTCAAAATTATTTTTTGTTTTAAGAAAAATTAGTGATAAATAAAAAAGGAAGTAATTCCACTCGACTGAGCGAGTGGGGAAAGTAAAATTTCTGAAGATTCAGGTTGATTTGTTTCTCATCTGTTTGGCTGAGACGAATCTGCACCTGCAGTCTAGGCTTCAAACTTCATTTCCCCCCTTTTCTTCATACTTTTGATGAAATTGACATTTGCAACTCATTGATTTTATTATAGAAAATAAATAACTTCAAAGATCAGGGCAATTTGTCAGTGTTGCACCTGCTTTATTTATTTAAAAATTCAAAGTCTTTTGTTAGTATCGCAAAAGGACGGGGGCTTTGTCGCCGCGCAGTCTGCTTTTTAAGGCAAGACAGTAAACCAGTCCACCTAACTGGCGACATACTTGATTTCAATATGCAGGCTAAAAGCAACAGAAAAAAATGAATCCAATCTTAAAAATATTATTTAAATCGGAAGGATATTTAAAATGTTAGAAAACTAAGTTAAACTATAAGTTAGTGTAGTATTTGGAATACTACATAATTTATGATGAAACTAGTGGATTCCAGGTTTTGGAGCTGATTTGGAGAAGAATGCTTTTTTTTAGGAAAACCAAGGTTATCAAACTCAAGGCTTTCTTAGAGCAACTAAACAAAAGCTAGAGAGCAATGGCTCTTAACTGTTGAACAGTTAATTGTGAAAATGAAGATAAACAAAGTGAAATATTTAGGAAACTGTTCTGAAGTACAGTTTATTACAAAAAAAATATTTAGAAATCATCATTAACAAGCGCTAAAATTAAATAGAAGCTTAAAGCTTTTTTGTTTTGTTAAAAGCACCGTGAGATAACCTTTTTTCAGTTTATCTTAGTTCGATATATCTGTGCGAATGATTTATGTAGTAGAAAATTTTCAAAGAACAAATTGTCCAAAAACCGGAAAAATGCAAAACCTTATAATTAATATTTTTCCATGAGGAAAAATATCCAAGAGTACCAACTAAAAATTATTGTATGCTAATAACTACAATGATATCTAAAAACTTTCAAGTATCGACGAATCTAAACTTACAAATGCCTTATAGAATTATTCTAACGGTGATTACTAAGTTTTTTAACTTTTTTTTGCGGATAGGCTTTATTTATTTCGTAGGCATTTCAGTTTGTTTTCTTCATTTTAAAATGTGGCTAATTAGTTTATAGAATTGAAAATTTAAAAAATGTGGGTTTATAAGCCGTTTCTCTTCTTGAACGTTTTTGGATTTGTTCTTGATGCGCAACAAAAAAACTTTTCATTCTTCTTTTTGGGCAGATCACGTTTTGTATGATTTTCGATGGGTAAAGATGATGCTTTGGTACAGCGGTTCAACGGCTGTTTCAAAAATTGACAAAACCATTTCTTGCATGAAGTTTTTTCATTGTTAGACAGAGGCAAAGCGGAGTTTCGCACACTTGCGATATAGCAATAAATAGCACGACAGATAGCACAAAGAGAAGGGCAAACACAAAAGCCTGATTCGAGAAAAACACTTTGTTTTTAACCTGATTTCTTTTGTTTTTGTTCGGAAGGCGGTCAAATTTGAGAAAACATATTGAGAAACACAATGGACAGATTTAAGTTGCCATTATCAAACAAAGTCCATGAAGCGAATACTGAGCAGAAAACTTGGGCAGACTACTGTTGAGCCGAAAAAAACATGGGTCAATTAAAAAATAAGAGTCAATTAAGCAAATAGAGTATCAACCCAACCCATTTTAGCTTTCAAGTGAGATAAAACAATTTTGTCGAAAAATCCCAACTAAAAAGTAGAGTATTGACTGATTAGAAAAAACACTTCAAGCAAAATTGTTTCGCTGTTTTCTTCAGAAGTCGGAACAAAAAATGATATTATTGTCATGCAACAGTCATAAAACTCTTCAGTGCACACGAAGAGTTTAAAAATTTTGGTGCTTAACAATCTTCATAGCTAACATGATCACGCTTTTAGATTGAGAAATTTTTCTTCAGTGAAAACTTGGAAAAAAACGATTTTTCTTACAAAACTTTTCGCAACTAAAAGCAAAAAACTTTGAAAAAGTACACTGACAGAGAGTAAAGGCACATTTTAGTAAGATTGAAATTAAATTTTCACTAGAACTTTCTCGTGGTACCACTATGTCAGCCGTATTCGATCAGGCTGTGGTAGACCTGCAGCTAGAGTTGAAGTCAGAGCTCGTTCTCACACACTATCATTGCCATGGCAGTGGATCAATTACCCGATCAGATATAACTCGAAGTGAACCCCTTACCATTATGCTCGAAGCCTCCAAGTTTGAAAAATTATTTTGTAGCAAAAATAACCTGAAGCTAATATAACAAAAAACCGTGCGGAAAAAACAACATCCACTCATATTGATAAAAAAAACCTTTTCGATACATTTTTTTGGTGCTTGAAACAGTTTGAGCGATGGTCCAAACTGTTACAAAATTTAGCGAACACCAGCAAATTCATTTAAAATGCAACTACTGAAATTCAAGTTTTGGAGCTGAATTGGAGAAAAATGCCTGTTATTTGGCCAATCAAAATGTAAAACTGCCAAATGAAAATTTTGAGAACGTGTTCTGAAGTCCAATTTTGAACAAATTATCAATTACAAGAACTGTTTTTAAATGGACGCTTAAGGTTTTTAAACTGCTTAAAAGCCCGTGAGAGAATCGCTCTTCCGTGTATCGTAGTTTCAAATGTATGTGAGAATGATATAAGTGAAAAAAAGTTTTTTTTTCATAAAACAAACTGTCCAACAACCCGGGAAAAAGCAAAAATCTTGAAGTTAATCTTTTTCTATGAGAGAAAAACGCCTAAGAGAAAAACTACCAAAACATTGTATGATAATATGTACAGTGTTATCTAATAAATTTTAATTGTCGACAAATCCAAACTTACAAATGCATTATAGATTTCTGATTGTAATTGGTACATTTAAAAAAATCCTTCTAAGAATTATTTAAATTGAAGGCATTTCATTTTGTTTTATCCTCATTAAAATGTGACTATTTACTTTTTGGAAACAATTTTAATGACGATGTCGTTTATAGCTGGAAGTTGTTTCTCTTCTTGAAGTTTTTTGGATCTGTTGATAATGCGCAGCAAAAAATATTCCAGTCTTAGTTTTTTGTTACATCACCGTATAATTGATTTTCCATGAATAAAGATGATGCATTGATACAGCGGCTCAACGATTGTTTCAAAAAGTGACCTGATTTTTTTGACATAAAAATTTTGCCCCTGAATGCAACATTGATACATAAAATCAAAAAATAGCACGAAAAACAGAACAAAGAAAAAGACGAAACACAAAAGCCTGATTCGAGAGAAAAATTTTTTAATAAAAAAAAATGGTTTAACTTATTTTTGTCCGCAACAGTAACTTTGAGAAACAATACCAAAAAACTCATTTGCCAAAGTTAAAAGAGCAATATCAAACAAAATTCATCAGGCAGATACTGAGCAGACAAAACTTGGGTAGACTACTGTTGAGCCAAAACAACGACAAATTAAGGGTAAACTAAGCAGATGTAATATTAACCAAACCCATTTTAGCCCAAAATATTCAAAGTGAAAAAAAATCGAATACTCAAAAAAAATTAAATTAAAAGCAGCAATATTTTCAGATGGGTAAAACAATTTTATCAAAAAATCTTAGTTAAGAAGTCGAATATTCACTAAAAAACAATCCAAGCAAATTATTCCGCACGTTTTCCGAATGTATATATTGTCATGCAACAGTCATAAGACTCTTCCCAGCACATAAAGATCGCATGAGTTTCGTTGCTTAACAATCGTCACAACTAAATCGATCACGTTTTTAGAATGAGATCAAATTTTTTAAAGAAAAATTCAACCAACGATTCTTTTTCGTTAACTATTTTGCATTAAAAAAGTACATTGTCACAGATTGAAGGCACATTTTAGTTAGATTGGAACTAAATTCACTGTTTCTCGGCACATACAGGTGGTTTTTCTGATTCGCAGAGGATATATGGAAAGCTATCCAGTCTGTCCAAGCATTGTTCATTCCTTGTATGTCCCCACGTTCCAGACTGA